TTGGGGTATATTCCAGCTGTCAAAAGAGAATAAAAGGCACATGGTAGCATAGTTTTGGATAGTTGGTTTGCAAATAGTCAAAAGAGAATAAAAGGCACATGGTAGTTAATGATAAATTAAACTTCTCCCAGAAGCAACAATTTATCTACCTCTGTAGAAGTTACTGTGCCCGATGTTTCGGAAGAGTTTAATCAAAATTCTCATCAAAATCCAAATGAGTCGATTTTTCAGAAAGAATAATTAGGTGCTTGACAGTGCAGTCCTACAGAGAGTTATTCCCATCTAAATGCACTGAAATAAGTGGGCTTAGACTAGTATTACTCTGCGTAGGAGTGCAGTAAAAACCACCCACTGTGATGTGCTTTATCAGATTAAGTTACTGAAAATACATTAATTCATTCAAATAAGTAGTTTTATCTGAGGTGGCAAACATTAACTACATTATTTACCACTGAAACTGTCATAGGAGTAATTGGCTGATATATACAGAACCATAGGCTATTTTGTAATTATCAGGTCACAGTTAAACTAGTTTCAAAGGAAACCTTTAACAAATAATATACACGGTTTGGATAAATTTCCTTCTGTGCCTTCAAAGAGTAGGGGGAAAATTTTGTACAAAGAATAGAAATTAATTCAGGAAGGTGTCCTTTGTCTGTAGTTACAGATAATCACTGGCATATGCAATTAATTGGTTCGCACAAGGAAGAACTGAATACAATTTCTAAGCCAAAAGCTGTGCCACTGATGCATGTTTGTAATTGTCATCCTCCCTTCTCCCCATTTTATGGCTTGATATTTGTAGGAGTGACCATGTTTCTGGGAATTGGATTGCTTCAGTGCTTTTCTTTTACAGTGGGCATGCTTTATTCCGTGCCAGTAGAACCAGTTAATCATTTTTATAACTCCGTGAGACAGGCTTTTGAGGCATGGGATAGGTAGTCCTCCTAGCAATACTGAACTTCTCCAACTTCCCTACCGTTTATCCGGTCTTCCTATCTATAATTCTTCTCAAAGTAGTACTGTGATTATTTTTTTTGTTGCAATTTTTCTCCCTCACTCTCTCCAGTGTCATCCTGCTATAACTTTACACACCTATAACTACCACACTAGAGTCTACTCATTTCTTATTTCTGTTATTCTTCTACCATTATGCTCAAAGCCAGTCCACCAAAATAGGGTTGCCACTGGCAAGGAGGTGGGGGGGTGCCAGGCCCAGGTTGGGAAACTCCTGGAGATCTGGGGGTGGAGCCTGAGGAGACGAGCTGTAAGGGCCTCAATGGGCTTCAGTGGGGCACAACACTATAGAATCCACCCTCCAAAGCATCCATTTTCTCAAGGAGGACTGATCTGGAGATGAGCGGTAATTGTGGGGGATGCCCAAACCCCATCTGAAGGCTGGCATCCCTACCTCCAAAATGTGCTGGGTCCAGCCTTGCTTCTAGCCTAGGATAAGTATTGTGCTGAGTTTAGGAATGGTGTGGGAGGTGGGGAAAGCTCTCCTAGGTTGGGAAAGGTGAGAGTCAATTATGTGCCAAACTAAACTCTCCTCTGACTTTGTCTCAGCTCCAGTTGTTACCAGCCTTCCCTGGTAGCACTGGTTTCCCCCTTCTCTAAGGCTGTGATCATACACATAATTAGACCTGCCATAGGTGTGAATGCCGGGCAGATTTAAAGAGCACATTCAGACAACAACATCTGGGAAGCGCCTTGCAGCTGTCGGCAACTCGTTCTGCTCTGCTGCAGAAGCGGAGTTAAAAAGACACCGGGGAAAATTCGGTAGAAAATGGGTTGCGATGGGCCACGGACAGACTTTCCTGTCTGATTGCTCCACTGCACTCTCGTGGCATCGGGATGGTCTGATCAGGCCATCCCGACTCCACGCTGTTGTCCCCCCCCCTTCTCAGTATGCGCATCATCGCAAACTCACTACGGCGCCCTCAGTGCAGAGATGCGATTCATCGATTCCTCGTTTTTCACACCGCCACCCCCCCCCCCCCCGACTCACCCGTGGTTGTATCTGATTACACAGTGGCGGGTTGTGCCCGTAGCTTCCAAGGACTGTGTGATCGCGGAACTGTGGGTCAAATTCCTCTGGAGGAAATAGCCTCGCTTCCCCTGCCCCCACGTTTTTTCTGGCGTATCTGACTGCAACCTAAATTTATCTTTTGAGGAGGGAAACCAGTGGTAAAAATGGCACAGGAGAGTAAAGGGCCCAGTTGTAAATTCTCAATCTATTCCCAGTATTGAGACTCAAGAGCATGCCCAGAAGCACTGCACTGTCAAGAGTGCTGGAATCTGTAGTTTTTAATGGTTCTGGGCAGAAGGTACCGAGTTAAGAGAGATTAAAACTACAGACCCTGCACTGTAGTCTTTTGTCGGGCTCATAAAAGTCATGAAGGATAGTGTCAAGGAGACACCATCTCTGACCATTTAAAAACTGTGTTATTTAAAAGCTGGTTATTTAAATGCTGAGGTAAATTATAGTCCAAGTGCTTGGCTCCGTGCAGCTCTGTGAGAGCAGAGAAATAGAACTGATTAACTGTGTATGCAGAGCTGATGTAAAGCTCTGCTGTTGGCAGCAATCTGCTCATATGTATGTGAGCGAATGGCTTTTGTATGAAGTCCAGGAGACTATGGCACATTCTGGAAACTATCCATCTGAATGCAGGCCAGATTTCAGGGGTGTGGGGACTAAAAGTGTGGTTTAAATTGGAAACAGTGTATTAAAAAGAAATTATGCTATGGGTTCTAGAAACACTGTTTGTCCTGGGTACAGGTGATAAAATTACTGGCTTTAAAAAAACAGGACATTTCGTGGAAAACCACTGAACTTCTGAAGCTACTACTAATACAGCTAATTAGGACAGACAGAAAATGTGCTACTCAACTTTTGAACTGTGTTTTAATTTTCAAGACAAATTCGACAGCCGGATTGCGTGTATTTCATGCTCAATTTGCAAAGACTCTTCAATCAAGAGTCTTTGCAAATCATCATCCTTCCTGTGAGTTGGGTGCTTTGTTTTCTGTAACCTCTTTATAGCTTGGATCCCGTCACTCACATCCTAAGAACAGTTTCCTGGGAGTAAGTCCCACTGAGTAGACTTCAGTAGTATTCTGAGCATACCTGCTTAGGACGCCATTGGGTATCTCTGTTCTGCTTAAAGAAGGCACTGTCACTCATGGATGAAAGGGCGGGGAATCCGTGCCAATTCCTCCCTCCCACTTTGACCTCTGTGATGTTTCTGGAGGTACACTGGCCCACATGGGCACAGTTTCAGAAAATGCGCATGGGGGTGTGTGTCAGGAAATTTGCCATTTATATAGCATTGCTCCATTCCTTTTTCCTGCTGAATAGAATCCCTGTTTTTGTAATTATAATATGTAACCCGAAAGCAAATGTGTATATGTGTGTGCGTGCGTGTGCATAAAAATCAGCAAGCCACGAGGAAAAAGCCAGACATTCTTCTCTCAGGATGCTCAGATATCTCCATAGTTTGCTTCTAGGCAGAGTGCAGTCAGCGGGTTCTGCGAGGTTTCCAGTGGACCGGCTTCAGCACTGATGTATGGGGATGGTTAGCAAAGTGTAAACTCTATGCGAAAGCAAAACACTGCATTTGTTAAGAACCTAACAGGCTGAGCATGTTTAAAAGCGGCTTGGCACTAGCTTTCATTAACAACATATTTAATGCGCGGACGTTGAAAGATTGCCCGCAGGACTGAATACTAAAAGCCTATGCCTACACGATGTATCAATCACATATGGCGACGAATCATATTTAATCCTGTTCTCTCTCTGTTTCACTGAAGCATAGCAATGCAATTTTCTGAAAGAAATGGAGACGTTTGCAGTACTATTAAACATACCCCACCATTTACAAATCAGTGTTTTATTGCGCCTCTGGCTCCAACCTCTCAAGGCCTGAACCACATATAACATCTTCTGTAAGATGGTTTTTCTGACTTTGGCCAGACGGTGTTGAAAACTGTGATGTTTCTCTGATGACTTGGAGCCATTTCAAACTTGTAAAGATTTAGATAAAGAGCACCGTGAGCACTGAAAGAAGAAACAATTAACAGATGGAGGCCTGGACTGATTTCTCATGTGCAGGTGGATACTCAACCAAGCAGTCAGTGCAAAAATAAATCAATAAAACAAGTGTGTGAACAGCTTTAGGCCACAGATCTTTCACTTCAAAACCTTTTTTTACTAATTTACATCTTGGAAATCTTTTTGTGTGTGTATTTTGTGTGTCTGCGCATGTGTGTGCATGCATGCCTGGAAGTAATGGTTGACTTCTGGCGACCCCTAATGGGGCTTGGATATTTCAGAGAGGTGGCTTGCTACTGCCTGCCTCTGCATCCCAGTCCTGGTATTCTTTGGAGGTCTCCCTTCCAAGTACTTGCCAGGGTCGGCCCTGCTTAGCTTCCAAGATCTGACGAGATCGGGCTTGCCTGGGCTATCCAAATCAGGGCATGATTTGGAAATCTTGAAAGGACCTCTGATTTTTATTTTACACCATCTGTGAAGAATATGAAGAATAAATGAAGATGCTTCTGGAGGGCTTATTAGTTCTCCGTGCACAGAAATGCAAAGGATAACAACAGTCTATGAAACAGGGAACTAGGAAGCTTATTAAACCTGCAATTGTTTTGCAGATTAACAGGGGAAAGGTAATACAATAAGATAAATTATAACTCTGTGTCCAAACATAAGCAAACAGACTCACCACGGAGGTAACATTTTGAAGAGGATAACCAAGGACAAAAGGGCAGATTATATTGAGAATCTTTCAAGAAATATTTGCTGCGTTTGTATTATGTTCTTATATTGAGCTATAGTGGTCTCCTATCCAGATTACAGGTCTACACTTATTAACTTCAACAACTGCACAGCGATAGATGCTACCTGCCAATTTACTGGGCCCTGTATTTACGGTTTTCCAGGAAGGACATAAATTCCACTCCACAGCATTGTTATACCAGCAAAGCCCCATTACCTTTTCATTCTTCCTCTCCTCTGCTTTACCAGCTGTGTTGGTTGGGCTGCAAGTTGCTAAGCTGCTGATAGGCCCACCCCCTACATCTCCATTCAGACTGATGGCAGAGACGTTTGGAGGCGTAATTGCTGCTGCTGCTGAAGTCAGGGGGATCATGGGTCTGGCACACTGCGCTCCTGGGATGACATGCACAGGGGAGTGGTGGATGTGCTGTGGAGACACCACGGAGTGTGGCCTGACCACAGTTGCTGGGAGACGTGACGGAGAGTTCTGGGTCCTCAGTGGTGAGACTGTGGCTGTGGGCCGGTCTTGGGCCTGAACAGAAGGGTGCACAACTGAAAAGCAGAAATGAGAAAGACCGCAATAAGAAAACAGTAAGTTGACGATTCTCAACACTGTAACTAGTTAAGTGGCACAATTCAGTTAAATACTTTGAAAAGTTCCACTGAAATCAATGGCATTTGAAAAAAAACTTAATGTTGGGTTTGTGTCCAAACTCTTTGATTATGCATAATCTGAAATACAAACACTGCAGTAGGTGGATTGTTGCAGATCGTATCAAGAAAAGCTGCTAACACAGCAAAATAGTATTTTTAAAAACAGAGCCTGAAAATACAAACTCATTCTGCAGTCTGCAACCAAGACATTCAGTCAACTCTGAAGTTTTAGGTTTAGGGTGAAATTAATTTCAGCCTGAGAGCCAGTTTGGTGTAGTGGTTAACTGCGCGGACTCTAATCTGGGAGAACCGGGTTTGATTCCCCACTCCTCCACTTGTAGCTGCTGGATGACCTTGGGCAAGCCATAGTTCTGGCACAGCTGTTCTTGAAAAAGAGCAGTTTCTGCCAGAGCTCTCTCAGCCCCACCTACCTCACAGGGTGTCTGTTGTGGGGAGGGGAAGGGAAGGGAAAGGAGTTTGTAAGCCGCTCTGAGACTCCCTTGGGGTAGTGAAGGGTGGGCTATAAATCCAATCTCTTCTTCTCTTCTCAAGCTTCTTACCTCTTTGCAGTCATTTATAAAGTCATAAACGCCTTTGCAGAGCCTTGATTCACAACATTCTTGAATTAGGCTTTTAGTGGCAGAATCCTTCCTGCTCAGTTCTTCCAAAAATAATGCCACAGCGAGTGACAAGCACCTGTTGTGGGGAAGAAGGGTGGCCGAGGGACAGCACAGATGACCAGTTAAGGAGCATCACCTAGTGGTAAGCAACCTGTTTTATTTCCTCATGGTTTCTGGGCACTGCGTGGATTAGCAGGCTGACCTACCTGTCCAGATGCAGTCAACTAAAGAGAGTGTTAAGCCTGACTCTGTCGAAAGAGGCATTCTTATAAGCTCTGGAATCCAAAGCATAGTGTTAGAACAAAGGAGAAAAGTTGAGACCACAGGGCCACCCAACTGGGCAACCAGTATATGTTTGGGGAGCAGGGACATGGGAGTGCACAGCATTGGTGCGTTGTGATGTGACACATTCCATGTTCCAGGGTTAACATAGACACAATGGCCGGTATCTCAAGGAATTGCCAGAAACTATATGATAGCCATTGAGTTTACAGTGATTCCTTGAGCTACCTGCCATCACTTCCAGGTTTTTCCTGGAAGTAACATCAAAGTGCGTGCACCGCTGATGTGGGTTTTAAAAAAAATTCCTTTCACCATCGCTTGCAGTGGTGATAGCAGAGCAGATTTTAACCTTCCAACCATCCTCCAAAGTTCTGGTAGAGAGGTACCTTTGCTAAAGGCTGCAGATGTTGCTACGACTCTCATGGAATACACTTTTAGAGTTCCTTGGAATGGCTTATGAGGCCAACTCAGCAGAGTTTAACAGTGGTTGACACCCAGCAGCCAAAACACTGTGAAGAGACCTTTCAGTTTCTTCTTGGGGCCAGAACAGCAGAGAAAAAGGACAGGGTGCATTCTAAGAGGAGCTATCTTGTCAAGGTACAATGCCAGAACTCTACAGACATCCACTGACTGAAGCTTCTGTTTGAAACAGAAGCCAGAAACAATATTTGGCAGAAGGGCAATGCCAACTCACAGCACCATTTTATCCTTGTGCACGTACAAGTGAGAAGGGTCAGAGCACATCTCAGGGACATCTCATTGGGTAGCCAAAGGACGTTTTCCTTTCATTGAGAAAGCATAATTTGCAGGTCCTGTAATGAAGTAGGGAACAAGATATGTGGATAAAGCCTAACAAGGCCTTCAAGAATGTTTTTTTTGGGGGGAAGCCTGGCCTTCTTCCAAGTGTGGTCTTGCAGCTGAAGTGACACAGCCAGATTCACTCTTAGAGAGGAGAGCCCCAGTGCTTGAGAACACAGAAGGAATAAGCACTCAAGGATGGAAGTGATGGAGCAGGTGATGGATTTTCATCCATGAACAGAAGGTAACAGGCAGAAGCATTTCTGTTTACTGTCCAAGAAACACCTTTTCATTTTCAGGAGTACCTTCATCAGAGCGGCTTACCTAAGCAACCTTGAATACGGGAGTGTGAGAGAGAGAAAATCAAAAGGCTGAAGGTCACAGAGGCACCTAGGAAAGAATAGTACGAATTCTCCTTCAGCATACCAGAGGAAACCAGGAAGAGACTTTGTGTGTGGCTTCGGTTTTGCCCGTGCCCCAGAACAACTTCTTGCCGCAAGTACTGGTAAACTTTGCAGCGAGAAAGCAGAAGATTCCACCCCACCCCTCACAAGGCCAGGCCCCAAAGCTGTTACTTCCACAGATAAACAGGAAATCAACAACCTCAAGATAAGGGAAAGCTGAAAGGAGAAAACATCTGATTCCTGAAACAAGGACGAGAGGCTGTTGCAAGCAGGTGGCTGTTCCCCAAAGAAGTCAGCACCATTCACCCTAAATTCTGGCAAAGAAGGGGTTCAACTCCACCCCCCAAGTACAAAGAAGAGCCAGGAGGGGGAACAGGAGTTGGGACCTGGGGATGCTGGATTATGGTGTAAACAGCTGAAAGATTCATGGCCGCTTTTGCAAAAGACTTTGGACGCCACTAAAGAAGCATATAAGACTCAGGCTGACAAGAGAAAGGTGGAGGGTTGGGCTCTGCAGCCTGGGGACTTTGTGTATGTTTCCACTAAGAACATTAAGATGTTACATCCCAGCAGGAAATTGGGGTGGAAATATTTCAGGCCTTTTAAAGTGCGTAAAGTGATCAATGATGTTGCTGTTGATGTTGAATTACTTTGCATTCTGTATTTCATTTCAGCCTTCTGAAAAAAGACACAGGGACTTGCCAGTGGCGAGAAGCCAGACCTAAACCCCCGCCCATCTTGATCGAGGGGGACGAACATGATGAAATAGCTCAAATCTTGGATTCGAAAAGGAAGCGTGGAAAACTGTTTTATTTGGTGGAATGGAAAGACTTTGGACCCCAGCACCTCGAGTGGGTGGAAGTAGGGGATATTCGGGCCCCTCAATTGCTTTGGAAGTTCCACCGGGAGTTCCCGGACAAACCGGGAGATCTCCCGGGTTAACCGGCTGGGGCAAGTGATGCTCTGTCTTCTTGGTGCTTTGGGGGGGGGGAACAGTGGAAGGGCTTCTAATGTCCTGGCCCCACTGGTGGACCTCCTGATGGCACCTGGTATTTCTGGCCACTGTGTGACACAGAGTGTTGGACGGGATGGGCCTTTGGCCTGATCCAACATTGGCATCTCTTATGTTCTTATGTTCTGTTGCAAGCAGGTGGCTGTTCCCCCAAAGAAGTCAGCACCGTTCACCCTAAATTCTGGCTAAGAAGGGGTTCAACTCCACCCCCCAAGAACAAAGAAGAAATTGGATCACGAGGGTACAAAAGACGGAGAGGCAGGGGTGCTAAAGGGCAGAGCTGTCACCATAACTTGGCTCTCCTGTTTGAACAGTCTCCGGTATCTGGCTTGGTAAACGTGGCAGTGCTTGAGTGAGTGTGTGAGGGAGAGGGTAAGAAGGACGCAGGAGAGGGCTGGTTTTTGGTGGCTGTGTGCGCCCTCAATAAATGTTTCATTTGTGTCCAGGGGACCATTGCCTAGCCCCCTCTGTCTCCTCTCCTCCCCTTTGGGTAACAATCTGTCGGGGTTGGGTGACTCTGGGCTGAGAGACCTGACCAACTTTTCAGTGCATTTACTGTGGTGGTGGTGGTGGAAAGTGCCATCGAGTTGCAGGCTGACTTATGGCGACCCTGTAGGGTTTTCAAGGCAAGAGATGGTGGTTTGCCATTGCCTGCCTCTGCGTCCTGGCCCTGGTATTCCTTGGAAGTCTCCCATCCAAATACTAGCCAGGGCTGACCCTGCTTAGCTTCCAAGATCTGATGAGATTGGGTTAGCCTGGGCCATTTAGGTCAGTACTCATTTACCATAGGCTCAGCTTATTTTATTTTATTTATTTATGGGATTTCTACCTCCCGCCTAATGAGGAATGGAAACACCCCCCCATTCCCCCCCCAAAGATAATGAAAAAATTGAGGACTGAAGAAAGAAGAAAAGGAAGGAAGTACTGAACAGAAAGACTGAAGGAAAAAACAAACAAATGCTGAAACAATGCACAGAGCGTTCTTGACAGAGAGTATTTTCAACCAATGCCCAAAAACCTGGCTGTACAATGCTTTGAAATAAGGTTCTGTGCAGGTGCAGAGCCCATTTGTGCAATCCACAGAGACCACAAAGAAGAATGACCCTTTATACAAGCAATACACCTTAAAAAACAACAACACCCCACTACAATATTTCATATCTAGCATCACTCCTTCTGACTGTAAAACAGCTGACCCTGTTATGTTAAGAAAAGCAGCCAGAGTATGCCACTCATAGTCAGGGTAGGTGTTTCCTCATACCTGGGGGGGATTTCCTAAGTATGCAGAAAAATAAAAGACTTCAAAAGGCACCCTCATCAAAACAAGGGAGAAATAAAGAAATAAAGAAAAAAAGCAGTAAGCAAAATTAACCTGAGAACTTGAAAGAATTCTGGAAAGGGTTGTCTGTAATGGGTGGGGAGATTGCCATATTCTTCTTGCCTCCCCTGATACCTCAGAGGTGCACGGCTTCTTAGGCACATATTTATTTCCTCATGAGGTAGTTTGTTATTCAGAGAAAAGTCTTCCATATGGTTTTAAAAGCTTCCAATCACAGACCTACCCACAGCAAAAGAGTTTTTAAAAATGAAAACAAAGTAACAGTTCATCAAAGAACAGCCCTGACCTGGATAGCCCAGGCAAGCCCGATCTTGTCAGATCTCGGAAGCTAAGCAGGGTCGACCCTGGCAAGTAACTGGAAGGGAGACCTCCAAGGAAGTCCAGGGCTCGGGACGCAGAGGCGGGCAGCAGCAAGCCACCTCTCTGAAACGTCCGAAGAAGGAGAAGAAGAGATTGGATTTATACCCCGCCCTTCACTCGGAGTCTCAGAGCGGTTTACAATCTCCTTTCCCTTCCCCTCCCCACAACAGACACCCTGTGAGGTAGGCAGGGCTGAGAGAGCTCTTTCGAGAACTGTCCTTGAGAGAACAGCTCTGACAGAACTATGGCTTGCCCAAGGTCACCCACAAAAAACCCTGAAACAACATATTATACATAAAAATTAACTCAGCAAGATCTTCCTGACCCTAAGTTAGCAGAGGATGCGGTCTTATTGTTGCACTCTGCAGTTGGTACAGGGCATCGAGTTTCAATGTCGTAAGACTCTCAGTTTTCATGCAGTACCCCTCACAATACATCAAGGGGTTATTTTAAATATCTTCCAAGGCTTCTCACCCTCAGTATTCTAAGAAGACTGGGAATCTCTCTCCTTCTTCTGGATTTCAGTTTGAAAATGCAGAAAATGCAGAACACATATTCTTCTCAAACCTTTTTTTTAAAAGCCCAAACATCATCTTTATAATATATTCATTTCCATGAAAGTCTGTGGATAGCATAAACCGTTTATCCTGTGACTAAAGCAGTCATTTCACCTGCACCTACACAGTGTGACATCTCTCCCAGGGGCTGAATGGCTGGGTTTTTTTTTAATTGTTCAGAACAAGTTTGCACAATAGGGAAGAAATCTGGTGGTGATCAGAAAATATTTCTGAAGATGCTGAATTGCTACACGAAAACACAATTAGGGCCCTGTTCATACGAGGTGTTTTGGGCCGGGAGGGGGACGGAACGGGGGCGGAGCAAACGGGCGCGATCCCACAGCAACATCTGGGAATCGTTGCCTGCCCGTCCCTGTTCCGTCCCAAACGCTGATACCGCGCAGCAAAAAAACACCACCTACCTAGGTGGTTGTATCCCTTGGAGCGCCTCAAGCCGGGACGTGGGATCGGCCGGTGCGTCCTTGCGCCGCCGCATCTCGGCCCCCAGCCGTACTGCGCATGCTCGAGCATGCGCAGTTCGGCAGCCTCCCCATCGGACTCTTGCTCCCCAGCATCTGATCGTGCCGGGGAGCGATGCGCCGCGGCTGAGGGGATCCGTGGGATCCCACCGCGGCGTCTCAAGTTTGGTGTGGCTCTGATTAGCCGCGTTTCAGCCGTCCCGTGTGGCAGGGACCTAATTTACTTTTATTTATTATGCATTAAAGCAAGGTGCTGTAAAAGCACCATTAATCGATATGCAAGAAATTCACATTTGAATCAAGAATGCCATCAAGAAAAAAGGCCAGACTACTGTACGCATGTTTACATTTCTCGTTTCAAAAGGTAGCAGGCATTTCAGACCTCCGGCTTTATCACCTGTGTTTGCCCTGTGTAATAAATTCCTTTCATCTTTCAAATGCTAATAAAATGTTTTAAAATGTTAAGCCACGCTTTGTTTGCCAAACCAGACTTAAGAGGTTTAACCTTCTTTGTATGCAGGATGTTTTATGCGCCAAAACAAATCTGTGTAAATATTTGTGAGCACCGTAATTGATTTCGTCTGTGGCAACAGGACAACCCGATGAACAAAATGCAGTTCCCCGGCAATCAATAAATACTACCCTGCTGAGTTTTAAACAGAGTGGAAGATTCCCTCCTCAGGAAACCTACAGAGACGGAAGGATTCCAAGGCCTTGTGCCTCTGAGATACAGGATCGGGACCAAAGGACCGGACGCATCAAGGACTATACGTACCCATTTGCGCAGAACCGCGAGCCTGGATGACGGCGGGTTGGGAAGAATACCTCGAGCAGCTGTTCAGCTGTGGGGAGCCTGTCGGCAGCTGGGGTTGAGTGGGTGGGGTTGTTATTGGGACAGCAGGCCTGATGACAGTAGCAGAACTGGTGAGAGCTGGGCCTCCTGCGTGAACAGCTCCAAGATATCATTAGCAAACAAATATCATTGGACAAATAAATATCATCATCAAGATCTGCTTTTACCGCTTTTGTTATTATTTTTGGCAGTCTCATCTAATGTTCATAAAAAGCAAATCTGCATACTTCTCAGTAAAAACGTGTAATATTTGTTCATGTCTGGCGGCTCTCAGACATCTGATGTTTATTCTATGCGGCTCTTATGTTAAGCAGGTTTGGTCACCCCTGCTCTAACCGGTGGGCTTTAATGGAAGAGGGATCAGTGGACGATGTGGACCGTCGCTGTTGTTATTAGATTTTAAAAAGATGTACAAAAACCTAATAAGGCCCCCCCCCCCCCCCTACACACGTCCTACCCTACATTACAATATAAAAAAATGCTATTTGGTCTCCTCAGATCCTGGAAGGCAAGCAGTGTTGGCCCTGGCTGGTACTTGGATGGGAGACCACCAAGGAAGTCCAGGGTTGCTACGCAGAAGCAGGCGATGGCACACCACCTCTGTTTGTCTCTTGCCTTGAAGACCTTACAGGGTCACCACAAGTCAGCTGTGACTTGATGGCTCTTTCCACCACTGCCATCGATGGCACAGATAGCTGTGAAATGCACTGGGGGGAAATGCATAATTTAAAAGCAAGGGTATTCATTCATTTTCACAACCGTCCCACTGTCTCTCACCTGGAAACAGGAGTCACATAATTGCCTGGGAAGACTCCAGACATGCCATTTCTCAAAGATGTCCCTTTGAACCAGCCGTCTTGACACTTCTCAATGACGCGGTACATTTCACCCTTGCGAAGCTCCAGCTCATCAGTCTTCTGGGGCTTATATGCATACAGCGCCAGGTAGCTGAAGGAAAGAAATGACATCAGTTGTGACTGGAGGCGCACACAGAGAGCTGCATTTTAACTTAACAGTGCAGAGGTAATCAGAGGAATTAATTACAAGGAACCCTTCGAGAGCAAGTGTATCTTAAAATTATTAGCAATAATCTACGAAAATGATTCCTAATCACTTGTTTACGGGGTTATTAGTGCCGTTTTAATGGGTATAAAGAACAATGAGAACTGCAGGCTTTGTGCTAAATTCTGCACAAATTCTTCTTGCAAAAGGAGTAATATACAATGAAATGGGAGAAGATCAGTCTCACAAAATAGGCCCAAAAGAAAGAAACAGGAAGAAACAAAAAAGAACAGGAAAGAAATACTGAGTACTATACCCACAGTGACTATGTCAGCCAATAACCTCTGCTCTCTAGGAAATACAATTGAAGAATAAATCTTGTTGATTCTCTACTTCTTTACAATACCAGGGTTGTTTGTTTGTTTGTTTTTTTACTGTTCTGCAGGCAGGAAACCAGCAGCAGTAATTATAAGAACACATATCCAGTAACAACTCCTCCAGGCATATTTTGGCTCTATTTACCATGTGCTTGCAGCACAAAGTCTTAGTCAAATAATTTGTATTTCTATTTTACAACAGACTCAAGAAAACAGTCTGGTATTCTTTGTTGGCCAGGCATAGGCAGATATCACGGAACGCCTTCTGCAAACAAGCTGAGGAAGGTTAACATTACCATTTGCTCACTACGGTAGTTAACGGGAGATTTCTTCCTTGTCCTCATCACTCCCATGCAGGGACACAATGGAAAGTGCTAGGCAGCCCTGTCTGAAACCCTAAACAAGGGGCTTCTTAGCATTTATCGCTGGTTGCAGTAGAAGGCTATGCTGTCTCCCCCCACAGCAAACCATGCTGGGCAGCATCATTTTTAACAGGTATGATTCTCTTCTCTGCTCCTCATTGGAACTAGGTGTGGTTCCAGTTCCCCCTCATCAAGGGAAAGGGACACACTGATCTTTCTCCAGTGTTGGAAGCCAGCCTATCAGGAGCAGCAGCAGGAGGTACGGTACAGAGGAAAGCCCCTGGCTGGGAGCCCACAGCAAACCTTTGCTGACTGCAGGGATTTCCATCAGTGGAATGGGACTTCCCACCCACCAGCTGCAGCTCAAAATGCTTCCTGAAACGTTGTTCCTGGGAATGGCGGGGGACCCCCCAAGAGCAACATGAAGGGCCCATTGGGAAGTCTGGAGGTCACGATCAGTGAAAATTGCACCCCTTTTCTATTTGTGGAAATCTTCTCAACTACAGAGAATCCACCCAACTATGGTAAAGGCCTTTGTTGGGAAGAACAGTGGTTGGGACAATGTGGAGATGGACATGAAGTGTCATGAGCCCATCCAAAGGACTGCTGTTTCTGCCAGACATCCAAGCCCAGTGCCATACTGTTGCTAATCAAGTGGACAGCAGTAATCTTTAAAAGTAATGTTTAGCAACAGGTTTTGGCTTTGTGCAGAATGCAGCTGCTTGATTTACCCAAGTAAAGGTTTGCAACACATGATGCTTTACTTCAAAGTCCGAAATCCTTTATCTTTCAGACTGCACCAAGTCCTGCTTCTCCATTAACTATTGGCATAACTGATACTTCTTGCAAAGACGGCTGTTTTGCAACGTTGGTGCTAGCAAAACCTGGTATGTGAAGACTTGTACGTGGACTGAATTCATACTTGTTCAGTTGCTCGAAGTCAGAAGAGAGTTACGATTGACAACCTGTTGTCAAAAACATGTAAAAGCTATTCTTGTTCAAAAATGACCTAGTTAAGCAGGAAAAAATGTTTTTATTGTTCCTTGGCGTGTGCTTTTGGCAAAGAATTGACATCAACAGTGTTATCCAGCTATGAAACCTCTGGAAAGGGCTGCTTTTCATTACGCGCTAGGATACATTTTTGCAGCACAGATAGAATTATGAAAAAAGGGGGTTGAAATCACCTTCAAAGCTGCAATAAGATGACACTTTGCAGTTTTATGGGTGGGATCTAGTTAAGGGACACAGTTTTAATCTATGACATTCGGTGCTAAAAGTTGCCTGCCAGAATTTCCTGCTTTAACTTTGGCCCGAGGGACTGAACTGTGACTGAATTTATAACACTGAATTCATCGTACTTCGGTTAATGTCATCTCTGTGGGTCTATTATAAGTTGGAGATACAATTGCTTTGAAGTGAAGCCTGGCTTCCAGGCGTGAAGAGCGGGAAGGTGGTTATTTTCCTTTTCTTCTGCGTATATAAAGTATTCCATAACTTGATCAATTGATCAATTGACATGTCAAAGGCTACCAACAGTTTAAAAAAAGTCTGGAGGTTGTCAGTCTCCAGGTGGCGGCTGGAGATCTCCCAGAATTACAACTAGACTCCAGGTAACAGAGATCAGTTCCCTTGGAGAAAATGGCTGCTTTGGAAGGTGGACTCTATGGCCTTATAACTCAATGATATCCCTCTGCTCCCCAAACCCCACTCTCTCCAGACTCCACCCCCCCCCAAAAAAAAAATCTCCAGGAATTTTCCAACTCAGAGCTGGCAATCTTATTTTAAGTGGAGGTGCTAGGGAGTGAACCTGGGACTTTATGTATCCAAAGCAGCCGGCGATTCAGACTTCTAAAGTTTTAATTAGTTGGCAGCTGAAGTAATTTCTATAAGTATATTGTTATGATTTATGGTGACATGCTATTTTTAAATGTTTTGTATTGCTTTATTGAATACTAATATATGTTGGCCCCATTTGCAGGGGGCGGGGCGATGCAGGATAAAATGTTCTAATAAATTAACAAACTATGAATGAATAAACTGAGGAGCAAAATTCCTCAGCTCCACCACCCCAAGGTACCTCATTTGCCCTTGAGCTCCTGACAGAAAAAAGTATCTTCTAAATCTGACCTCCAGGTAACAAGCACAGGACACATTGCTTTTGTTTGGCTTCGAGAAACAACAAGAGCAACTCCCACCCCCATCCCACTGCAGTAGAATCACAATTAAACCCATCATTATAGGTGTAATCACAGAGGATCAATAGCATAGACATTTTTAGTATAATGTAATGTAGTAGCACTATAAAATGGAATGCATTTGTATGCAATGTTCTTTAAAATCTAAATTACATTATTGACCATACATGAAATTCCCACTTTCTAAAGAAAAGCCAACTGAATTTTCATAAAAGCTGATAATTCATTGAATTTCTTGTTTGGACAAATCAGATTATTCAATACAGAGCTTATCTCGGGGGAAGATGGTATCCTGGAAACAAGTTTCTGTCTGAAAGAATAAAGTTGACTGAACTACATACAAATGTAAAGCACATCCAATGGGAAGTTTGCACAATGAATTTGCTAAGTTTTATTCCTGATCTAGTTAACCTTCTGTTCTTTCAAGTAATATTTAGTCAACCTACTCTCTCTTGCACATAGCATGTTAATTTTATGTCTTCATTTATTTGCACTAGAATATATAACTGGATGGTTTTTATCCTAGAAATCGTTCTTCCCAACAATGACAGACTCAGGTGTTCAATTGTATGGGAGAGTTATTTCATAAGCGATTTAATTTACTGGAGCAGATTTTCTCTTGCTGATAGGCACTCAGGCTGTCATACCATGATTCATACAGCCATAATAAATATCTCGGAAGCTAAAAATGGACTATGCAAAGAAGGTGACCTGGCCTTTCACTGTTCATTTTTCAATTCTGCCAAAAGGCTGGGTCATGTCCAAGACAGTGATAAGTACGTGTGAAGTGTTTCCCATAAAAGACTTCCACATGGAAAACGATACAGCAAAAATGATTTGTGGTTTCTTAATACTGTACTCAGGGCAAAAATGGCAGCTTACATATTGAGAGGTAGCTGGACCTTTGGTGGTGTCACTTGATCTCCGCTGATGCTGCTTGCTCTGGGTCCAGCCATGGTTGCAGATCCAGCTAATGGTGAGTCCTAGGAAGAATACAAAAACCAGTGGTTAGATGGGATGGTTGTGTTACCTCCATATGTATTAGTTATCACCATGTCATTTAGGTTTGTATTGGAAGATAATATTGCTTTTCATTCCCAGTTCAGAAAGCATTTCAAAACAGGAATCAGACAAGAGAAGAAGAGATTGGATTTACACCCCACCCTTCACTACCTGAAGGAGTCTCAGAGCAGTTTACAACCTCTTTCCCCTTCCCCTCCCCACAACAGACACCCTGTGGGGCTGAGGGGGCTCTTTCGAGGACAGCTCTTGAGAGAACAGCTCTGCGAGAACTTATGACTCACCCAAGGTCACACCAGCAGCTGCATGTGGAGGACTGGGGAATCAAACCTGGTTCTCCCAGATTAGGGTCTGTGCTCCTACTACACCACTACACCAAACTGGCTCTCTCTGAGTGCCTATCAGCAAGCTTCATCTGCAGCAGGTGGAATTCACATTTTAAAAAGGAAATATTACATTCTCTGCTATCAGTGATGTCTAACATAGCTCCCCCTGGGGATGTCAGGCTGGTGGCTAGCATCCCTGGGAGCTGGGGGGGGAGGATGTTTTTTGATAAACGATGC